TCATGAAATTTCCCTTGAAGATTTTCCAAACATGTACGTACTAACTAAAATTGAATTGTTAGCATTTGGAACATACATAGATTTTTAAAAAGTTAAGCAAGCACTTTACTAGAATTGAATTGTTAGCACTATGTATACTGAATACAAAAACTTGAACTAAGCAAATGTAGTTATTCAAGTATTTTCTGTTTTTTATTTATCTATCATTTAATTTCGTTCTCTTATTTTATGTTTCATATCCTTCAAGTTTTTTAAGTTTCATCATCAGATGATATTATTTTGTATTTTTCTTCAAAGCTAATGGTATGCTCTTTAGTAAATAGTATCTTTTAATAATAATTTATATCACTTTGTGCTCTAATTATCTTTTACTTGCTAATTTATTTCCAATGATGAAAATAAACTACTTCATTACTCTAATAAACGCTAAATTTTTACCGTAGCAATTAAATGTGTATTTTTAATATTTTAGCCTGTGAATTTTGATATTCTTTGACTCGATCAATTTACATGACAAGGGGAATATTTATTATATATTTTAAATTTGATCTTTGTCGAATTTTTACTACTCAAATTATGCACTTTTGAGAAAATAACATGACTATGTGCAACATGTTTGAGAATATAAAAGAATTACCGAATTACTATGTATTAATAATATGTTTACCGAATTAAAAACTAAATATGTTTAAATTAGAGTATAATGCAAAATAATATGTGTAATGTGCATGATGCACTCAATGTTTACAATGCAAACGTATAAAAGTGCATAATTGATTATAGGAAATATATATAAAAGTGCACTTAACTAAATATTTAAAGTGTATGGTGTTGGGGTTTTCTTATGATGCACCGTTAGTAAATTGTGTATGAAGTGCAAACTATGCAACTTAATAAAGTGCATATGAGTTAAGTAAAAATTTGTTCACTTAATGAATAAAATATTATACCGACAATAAAGTTTATTTTTATTGCACCTGTAAGAGCATTACAATTTAAATGAAAGTGCAACTTTTTAATAAATAATTACATGAAAACTAAACCTTCCAACTTATACTATGTATGTTTATTAAATGGAATTTAATCACGGAAAATGCTTCATTGAAGATGTGTGCATTATTGCACGAGTAGGCTTTTTAATTAATTAGCATGGCTCTTTACAAAGACATCTCTAAGTTAGGGTATTTACAATTTAAATAGCGTTGCTTACATCATTAAATGCTTTCCGTTATTAACATTAAAGTACGGCTTATACATGTGTACTAGTATTGTACCCATGCGATGCATGGGACAAAAGTGTAATTTTTTTGTTTATAATAATGTAAGGCGCATATTGAAATGACTTTGTAGAATATTATTATTCAACAAACAATTAAACGCATGTATGATATATAACAAAATAAAACAAATATAAGTTGTCTCATTTCGTAAAACAAACTTTTCACAACGTAGAAAGCATTAAACATTCTCAAAAATAAATAAAAGATATATTAAACATTCTAAAAACTTCTGAATATACAACATTTAATGTGGAAGAACTTGAGCTACCGTCATCGTTGCATATCAATATCTTTAACCCTTCACATTTGGTAACTCGTGACATGGCTACGTACAGTTGGCCATGACGAAAAATCGGGCTTTTAAAGAATAACCCAACATGAGAAAGTGATTGAACTTGACTTTTATTGATCGTCATTGCATATGACACAATTATAGGGAATTGTTTTCGCTGGAAATTAAAAGGCAGCCTCACATATGAAGGAGTTAAGTTGAATCTTAGAATCAACACTTTTTGCCCAGGTTTACGGCCAGAAAGTATTATGTATTATAGCTTAGAAAACGTGATTTCGACAGGACAAGTGCATTTCCACTTTTGTCCATTATGTGAATCGTTACCTTGTAGCTACGAACATACCATTCTTAGTTGGTTTGAAAAATGATTTAAGTAAAATAGATGTTCGTTGTATTTCAACTATATTTACAAACCTAATGACAACTTCATTGTTTTTTCAATTTGGGTTAAGGCACCCAAACCTACCGCACTTTGGTGCAATCTTTCTAGCACAATCCTTACATGCCAAGTACCACCAGCCTTCACGCATGTCAACATCAATTATTTCCCCAGCTATCCAAAAGCGTCCAACCTATTCACACGCATAGACACATAAATGTAATTGTGTGTTAAAAAATGCTCTCTATGTCCCTAAAAGGATTGCCAAGTTTGACCGGCACGTAGAATAATAAAGTAAAAAATGTGTGGTAGAGATTTGTGCAGAGGAGAGTGAAATCACAAGAACCACAAATTGAATGACTAAAAGGGAAAGTGACAAAGTTTTTGGGACAACCAAAAAAGGAAAGTTGGCAAAGTTATAAGGGACGATTTCATCATTCGACAAAGGTCAAATTTACCAAGTCCTTCTCAAATAGCGAGTCAATAGGGACGATTTCATCATTCCTTGTGTTGACTTCATCAGTTTCACATGACTATGTGCAACATGTTTGAGAATATAAAAAAATTACCAAATTACTACTCCCTCCGTCCCTGAAAATCCTTCCCACTTTCCTTTTTGGCCCGTTCAAAAAAAATCTTCTCACTTACCATTTTTGGACAATTTGTGTGGTTCATATTCATTTCACATTTTTCTTACACAACCACAATCATACATTTCCACTTTATTCCACTTTCTTAATAAGCATGTCAAGTCAAACTCGGAAGCATTTTAGGGACGGAGGTAGTATATATTTATTAATAATATGTTTACCGACTTAAAAACTAAATACGTTTAAATTAAAGTATAATGCATAATAATATGTATAATGTGCATGATGCACTCAATGTTTACAATGCAAACGTATAAAAGTGCATAATTGATTATAGGAAAAATATATAAGAAGTGCACTTAACTAAACATTTAAAGTGTATGGTGTTGGGGCTTTCTTATGATGCATCGTTAGTAAATTGTGTATGAAGTGCAAACTATGCAACTTAATAAAGTGCATGTGAGTTAAGTAAAAAAATTGTCCACTTAATGAATAAAATATTATACAGACAATAAAGTTTATTTTTATTGCACCTGTAAGAGCACTACAATTTAAATGAAAGTGCAAGTGCTTAATAAATAATTACATGAAAACTAAACCTTCCAACTTATATGCTTATTAAACGGAATTTAATAACGGAAAATGCTTCATTGAAGATGTATGCACTATTGCACGAGTATGCTTTTTAATTAATTAGCAAGGCTCTTTATAAAGATATCTCTAAGCTAGGGTAGTTTCAATTTAAATAGCGTTGCTTACATCATTAAATGCTTTCCATTAATAACACTAAAGTACAGCTTATACATGTGTATATTATGGTCGTCCGATTGATTATGTGAATGCCTAAATTTTATTCTTATTATCTCCTGGGACTTAATTCTCACTAGAACCATCCCCTGCACACGCACACACACACACACACACACACACACATATATATATATAAGGAGTGGTTCCATTGAGAAAGAATTCACATGAGAGAAATGAGAACGAATATGGACTGTTGGATTGTAATATGTGAAACTGGATTGTGCATTTGGTGAAACTAAAATGTGCATTAGGTGAAATAAAAATGTGCAGATTAAATGTAAAACTCAAGTGTGCATTAGATAAATTGAAATGTGCAGAACAAAAGGTACAAAAATGCAACTATATCATACTTTTTATTCAACACATTGCGGTTTCATCTAATGCACATTTCAGTTTCATTTAATGCACAACTTAGAGTCACATGATGCCACAGTGATGTGCTGCACATTTCAATTTCACTTAATGCACATTTCAGTTTCACTTGATGTACATTAAATTTCACATAATACAATCTAACGTTCCAAATTTGCTTTTTGAACCCGGAAAGCAAACTACCCATCGGTGGGGTAAATGTCGGGGAACATTTATTGTGTTTTATTAATACAACAACAACAACAACATTCAAGCCTTAATCCCAAAAGAATTTGGGGTCGGCTAACATAAATCGATCTATGATATCGATGCAAAACAGAAAAGACAGACAAGAAGGGGGGGGGGGGGGGGGGGAGTAAATAAAATGGATAAAATAAAGATAAATAAATATAAGATAACAATAACATAAGAATATAAGAAAGATAAAATATAAAAAGATAAAAGAGTATAAAAAAGCTATAAGATAAAAATAGCATAAGAATAAAAAACATGAAGAAGATAAACGATAAAAGAAAAGAGAGAGTAAAGGTAGAAAAGACATCAATCATTCACGCGGATGTGCTCCATCCACTTTCCTCTCTCCAAAGTTATATTTTCATCCAACCCAAGAAGACGCATATCAATTCTAATTCCTCTAATTCGATCAAGTCCGTTTGGGTCTTCCCCTCCGTGTCTTCTCTGCCTCTTCTTCCCACCCCTCAAGTCGTCTGACAGGTGCATCACTCGATCTTCTACGCACATGTCCAAACCATCGCAAAAGAGACTCATGCATCTTATCTTCTATAGGTGATACTCCCGCTTTTTGTCTGATTATCTCATTCCTCAAGCGGTCTTTTCTGGTATGTCCACACATCCTACGCAACATACGCCACACTCATCTTTTGAATGTAGCATTGCTTCACCGCCCAACACTCTACGCCATACATTAATGTTGGCCTAATTCTGTTCGATAAAATTTACCTTTCAGCCTAGTTGGCATACCTCAATCGCATAGAAATCATGATACACTCTTCCATTTCATCCACCCAACTCTGTTTATATGTCATACATCTCCATTTAATTCATCATCCTTCTGAATTATGGAGCTCAAGTAACAGAACATATCACACACCGGTATCTCCTTATTATCAAGAGTAATCCCACTGTTACTACTAGTTCTACCTTCACCATACTTGCACTCCATATACTCAGTCTTGCTTCGGCACAATCTGAAACCCTTGGTCTCCAATGTTTGTCGGCATACTTCCAACTTTGCTTTAACACCGGATTTCGTCTCATCAATCAACTGTGTTTTATTAATAAATAAAAATAATACAAAAAGGGAGGGGACCAAACCAAAACATCTCCTAAGAGGCATACCTCTTAAAAACATGAATATAATAGTAAAAACAAATTTGGAAGCCAAAATACATGAATTCGAATCTCGGGTATGGAAAACCAAAAAACCAGCATAATAGCATCTTCTAGCGAATGGTCCACCTGATCGTATAAAATGCAGTGGGCTTGATTAGAACTATGACCCGCTAAGAAATGAGTTGGGAGATTCCCTTCTCTAAACACAAGACCAAATTTCAAGCCCATCTCATTCGCCTTCCTCTAAAATGTCTAAATGCAATCAATACGCTTTCCTAATTCTTCATCCAAGAGTAGAGAGATAATACGAGAAGCGTCGGTTTCCACCTGAAAATCAACAAACCTCATCCACATTGCTAATTCAAAAGTTATAATCAAGGCATTCAATTCAGCCTCCTCGCTCGATGAAGCCTGAATCGCGAAACTTAGAGCCCACATGAGCTCCCCAAGACAATTCCTTAAGATGGCTCCTCCTGAAGAAGATCCAAGTACATAAGATGCATCAACATTGAGTTTAAAATCCTTCTTAGAAGTGTTCTCTTCACCTAATCTAATCATTCTGGTCTGAAATTATTAAGATCTGATATGATCTGATGTGAATCTTTCTGATCTAATCTGATCTGAATTTTTCTGATCTGGTCATAATCTTTTAGATTTGATTTGATCTGATTTTTTCTGATTTGATCTGATTCTTTCTATTCTGATCTTATCTAAATCTTTTTTATCTGATCTGAATCATTCTAATCTGAACTGAATCGTTATGATTTGATTTGATTGAGTGTTTGTCATCATCATCGTCGTTGACATCATAATCATCATCATCATCATTATCACTATTATTATTATTATTATTTCTAAATATTGGGTGGCACGGTATAAATGGCGGTGACATCGTGTGACACGGCTGCGGGATTGACATATATAATGACTATATAAAAATTAAAAATAATCATATTTTTACTCTTAATTTTTCCTTTAATATATGGGTTAATTATCAAAATAGGATTAAAAGTCACTCACTTTGCACAAATAGAACCAAAAAATAAACTATGATTTCATAGGACTAATTATGTGTGTCTTGGACAAATATACCCTTATAGCTATTGAAATGTTTTAATTCATAATAAAATAATAAAAAATAATTAAACAATTCAAAAAAATACTAAAAAATAAAAAAATATTTCGATAATAATAATTTATTTATATATTTATTTTCAAAAAATAAAAAAAAATAAAAAATAAAAAACTCAAAAAAAGAAAATAAAATTCACCGTCGCCTCTGCCGCCTCTGCACCACCACCTCCAGTCAACAGGGGAAACAAATGTCAAGTTCATTACGAATGCCATATTTATGGCAGAAAACAATGAAAATGTTGGCATTCTCAAAGAGAAATATGCCATCTTTTTGGCATTTTCAGGAAAAAAAATGGAAGTTTTTAGGGAAAATGGCATTTTTTTCACCACTCGGAGATGGTGGTTCAGGGAGGTAGTACAGGCAGTGGGAAAGGAATCCATATATTTTTTTAATTTTTTATGGAGTTTTACTATTTTTTATTAATTTTTTAAAAAAATAAAAAAATTAAAAAAAAAATATTTTTTAATTTTTTATTTTATAAATATTTTATAAATTTTTTAATTATTTTTCTACGAATTTTTGATTTTTTTCGAATGTATTATGAATTAAACATTTAATTAACTCATATTTAAAGGAAGGGTAAGAATGGAAGGAAAAAATAGGTATGTTTTCAATAGGACTAATTTGGTCTTATTTTGAAAAGAAAAACATAGTAAGTGCTATTTTGAATTTTTGTCATAGTTTTAGTCCTATTTTAAGTAATTTCTATTAATATATTTGTGACATGTTTAGTTACTTTATAAAAAAATTAAATATAATCACATTTTTGCTTTGAACTTTTCCTTTAATTATATTTATACCAAAACTTATACTATCGTATTAATAATAGTAAAAGCTTGATTTGAAATGGGAAATGGAAGAAAAGAAGGGGACAAAAGTCATGGAATATATTCCCCTCCGAACAGAATTTGGACTATGTTTCCAGATATGGAGTGAGAAGCAGTCTTAGACAGCCTAACCACTTCCACTTATATATAAACAAAACACATTTAAAGGCAGAAGAGAAGAATCATCCCTGTTTATCTTCCCTCTCCAATTTATGTTTTTTCAAGCTATAAAAATAAGTTACCTGCTCATCACCGCATACAGGATACATACTGCAAAGAATGGCCCTTCTTCCCACTCTGCAAAATAATGAAACCACCTTGGTTTTATCCTGTGATCCAAAGCCTAGGCTTAAATGGACTCCACAGCTTCACCATAGATTTCTGGAAGCAGTAAATCAGCTTGGAGGTGCAGAGAGTGAGTACATACATATTCTATTTTCTTGGTTTTTTTATACGGGAGTATAATATTATATCATCCAAATAATTTAATCCCACATTTGATATTTTTCATAATTTTTTATAATGCAGAGGCAACACCTAAATCATTGATGAGAGTGATGAACATTGATGGCCTTACTTTATACCATCTCAAGAGCCATTTGCAGGCAGGCTTTCTTCTTCTTTTCCAACAAAAGCATTAAACTTAAAAGAAAAAGAAGGAATGATCTGACTAATCATCTTTTCTGCAGAAATTTCGGCTGGGGAAAAGCCATCAGTTGAATTGCGACCATGAAAACAGCCAAGGTAAGAAATCTTTGACTCTTTTAGTTTGCTGACTTATGAAGGAAGACTAGAAATGAAAACAGTGGGTGTTAATTTAAAAGGCTTTGGGTTGGGGCAGATTACCAGCAATCTCAGAGTCAGGAAAGCCAATCACGTTCAGAAAGCTATGATGGAGCCCACGATCATCAAATGAATGAGTAAATGTTTTTCCATTTTACATGGACAAGAGCTTCATTAAAGCAAAGAAAATACTTTTCTTATTTATGAAGGATTCTGATGATTTCAGAAGCATGAAGATAGCTCAAGCATTGGAGATGCAAATGGAAGTGCAGAAAAAACTACAGGAACAAATTCAGGTAAACCCCATTTCTCATCTGATCCGATAATATTAAAGACTGATGAGTGTCCCACATTAAGAAAAAAACACAAAAACTACTCCTATGTCCTTTAAAATTCTTCTCACTTACCTTTTTGGATGTCTCAAAAAAAATCTCATTTTCCTTTTTGAAAAGTTTTGTGTGACTAACCTTCATTTACCTTTTTCTTACTCAACCACAACCATACATTCCCACTGTTGGACACGGAGGGAGTAGTATGTAATTTTAAGCACTGCATGTGTCATCTTAACTCTTGCATTAGTATGCTATTATCCATTTTGGACCAAACTCACAGAGTTGTTTTTGGCACCTCCTAAAAGACCTCATACTAATGCATTTAGGTGGACACTATTGTCACTCTCTCTTTCCTAGACCTATTATTGTTCAGTTTACTATTGTTTAGACTCATGTGTCCTACATAAACTTACTATGCATTCTATTGGATTTCAACACAGTGAATATGGTTGACAATTCTAGTATACAACTGTTACACAAACTCAGAATATGTTTAGAAATTATATTATTGGTTGGATTCAACTTCTTAGCATCAATTTGACATGTATGCTATTACGAATATTCCTATTCCTATTATATACTTCATATTATATTAGGAACATGAAGTATATTTACTTAAACACTTATATAGTTATATACTGTGTTTATTATTAAAACAACCTATATAGATAGTTGCGCATTACATTGTACATCTTCTACATAAGCATCATAAGCCGGTTTCTACATCAAATGAGTTCTGGCCCATGTGTATCCTACCAAAATAAGGTGTATGTACATTTCAGGTGCAGAGAAATCTCCAGATGAGAATTGAATCTCAGGGGAAGTATCTTCAGACTGTTTTGAAGAAGGCGCATGAAGCACTTTCTAGATACAGTCCTTTAGTTCAAGCAGACCTATCTTCAGTGTCAACATTGACAGAAATTGGATGCTCTCTATCAAACTGCACATACCAAACACAAGAACAGCTCGTGACTGGCATTGGGTGTTCACTTGAAAGTTCCCTCACATCATCTGAAACCTCAGCTGGGATTAAGGAAGACAATGAGGTATACAATGATTCTGTTGAACTTTCACTGATGGAAATGCATCCAAGGAAGCAAAAGGGGTTAGTTGATAATGATGATGATGATAGTGGCAGGAAAAGGAACAGAAGCATGGCTTCTTTTGATGATTTTGTTGAAAACCCATCATCCCATAAAAGATTCCAGTCCAGTTTTAGTAATAATGAAGATAACTTCAAAAAGTTGGGATTTTTGGAGATTATTGATTTAAATGTTCAGTGTGTTAGCGGGTTTGATGGTTAATTAAACCTGCAAATGGTTATAAACTTATATCTGGTGTCTGGAAACTATATATGAGGAAGCTGCTGGTTCTTTTACCAGCGAGTTCTGTTTGTAAAACCATGTGTGTAAATGAACTGATTAGTGAATGAATCTTTTCTTTTCAAAGTATATTCCCTTTCAAAAGCTCTGTCGTTTTGTTTTTATCAGAGAACAACAGCTCTCACACAAAAAGAATCTGAAACCAAACAAATAAAATAGTTTTTGGGTAAGATTTGATCTCCACCCTTATTTACCTCAATTTCGGAAAACACCTCAAATGGAAGTACAAGTATAATATTGGGCAAATATGGAGGGTGAGCACCAAATATCTTATATTTTACCTTAATGTTACAAAATAAAATAAAAAACTTATTTTGAATACTATTATTAATTTGACTCGCTCTTTTCTATAATTTTGAATACTCCGTATGACATTTTTTTATAATTTTGAACAATAACAGCGGTGTTTGAATCTGATTCTTAAAATTGCTTCTACTCCTTCAGAGAGCAGAAACAGAAGTTGAAGTGTTTGAGTGAAAGCGCAGAAGTGATTCTGGTGCTCTAATTTACTCATAGAATCAGTTTTTTTAGAAGCTGAGGGTGACTGGCTTCTGAAAAATGATTCTGACTTTGCTTATTCTTTAAAAAAGAAGCAGAGGCAGAATTAGTTCCAAACATCACCTAAATACTCTCTCTTTCCTTTCTGCGGTGTAAAATTGATAAATTTTTTTACCAAAAAACAGAAATAACCCTTTAAATTTGTAATTATTTCTATTACAAAAGTTAACAATTAAAGAACATATCAACAATTAAATTTGTGCAATAACAAAGATCAAACTACTCAATGGGAGAAGTATGATAAATGAATGATTTGTTCTTTGCAATAATTTGAAATAACAATTAAAGAACATATCAACAATTAAATATTTGGGGATAATTTGAGTTTGCACCCCACCTTATTGTCGAAATTAGGCTTTGCATCCCGTTTTTGAAATCTTTAGTATTTGCACCCTAACCCCGTATGAAAAGACAAGAATGCCCTCGATCAGAAATATGTTGAAGACCAACAAAATTGTTAACTGAGGGGCATTTTAGTCTTTTCATACGGGGTTGGGGTGCAAATACTAAAGATTTCAAAAATGAGATGCAAAGTCTAATTTCAACAATAAAGTGGGGTGCAAACTCAAAATATCCCTTCTATTTTCTATTGTCCAACCACCACCAAATAACTCATTAAATACAATGTTAAACCATAATAAGAGTAGTAATTTCAAGAAAACCTTAAAAATAATCTTGATGCATTAGAGACCACATAAATGAATCGATAAACCAAGAATTGGATTCATTGAACTCGACGAAAAATAACATCTTTTGCTGCTATTTACATGAAATCGAAAAAGGGGGCAAAAGTAAAGAATTCAGAAGAAATCGTATCTAAGCTTCTTCTTCTTCATCAGATTCATTGGGAACAGATCGACCAACGTCCCCGTCTCTCCGATGACTTACTGTGAAACCCACCAATACCCCTCCCCTTCTAACTCCATCACTGTTCTTCTCCTTCTCCACCTCTGGAGGCATTTCATACCTACAAACAGGGCAAGATCCATGAATCCCCAGCCATTTCTCTATACAGTCCTTGTGATATCTGTGCTGACATGGCATCTCCTTGGCGACCCCACCAATCGCCAGCTCCTCCAAGCATATCACACACCCCATTTTCTCCCCTTCTTCACTGATCTCAACACTTCGCAGAGCATCAATGGAAGCTTTTGAAGCCGGTGGATGCCCATCTTTACTAAACAAATCGCTCGGTACAGCATTTATTATCAACACCCTTTGGGCCGCCGGGCTGATGACGATGATCCGGCCGGGAGAATTGGGTGAGCTGGTTAGGTAATCCTGAACCTGATCTGGGTTCGGGAAGTCCAATATGAAGGGTATCAAGAAAGAGAACTCCATGTTCCCTGAGTCCTCTGCTTCAGACGCCATTTTTGCTAGGGGTCAAACACAGTGACAGAAAGACGGGTTAGGGAAGATCGAGGGTTTCTGATTGAGAGAAAATTGCTGTATTTCAGATATAAGATGGCAAGGGATTTTAAGGTGACGATGGAATGGCATGGAATGTTCTGGAGAACTCTCGAATGTGTGCTATGGACTGTCCCGTTGAATTTGATGATATCTTGTGTTTATCTGTTGGGGAATACATGAATAAATGAAGTTTTTTTCTAACACATCACTGATTACGATTGTATTTACACTTTACATAGTAGTGATTACATTTAATCATTCTTGTGTAAATAGTAAATGTAAGTATAATCACTAAAAGTTACTCCCTCCGTTCCTATTAAAACTTCTAACTTTCATTTTTCATCCGTTCCAATTAAAACTTCCATTTTCTCTTTTTAGCATAGAATTTGTGTTTCACAACATTTCTTACACATTTCTCTCTCCTCTACATAACTCTCCACCACACAATACTCACTATCTTAAATTGTGTGTCAAACGTATTTGGAAGATAAAATAGGAACGGAGGGAGCATCAAGTTATACTTTTGTCTACAATTTTCTCAAAAACTATTGTTTATTTAATGGCTCAACAAGAATTGGTCCATAAACCCTTAAAGGCACGACCTACGAACGTTCCCAAAGACACAAGACAATAGGGATTCTCCAACCTCACGAGCGTCCCCCATAGCCCAAAGCCAATTGGGGCATCTTCCCCGGGTCGCGGCAAAGCTCGTCCCCAACAAAGCCCAGGGGACGTACGTATCCAAAAGTAGGTAGCCTGACCTAGGAGCAGCGCGAGATGCTCGTCTCGTGAGATTTGGACCCAGCGGAAAACAGGGAGCAAACTTACGGGGACGCCCGTCCCCACTTCTTGGCGGGAAGCTAAGATCGTGGCAGGAAGCTCATTTATTGCATAAGATTTGGTGGTTGAGAGCAAGCCATCCACAGCCCGTCATGTCAGCATAACTAATTACTCATTAGCGGTATAAATAGTATCATTTATTTCATTGTAAAGGATTGACAACTTAGCATTCTGGCATTATATTCATAACAGATCATAGCATAGCTCTGTACGAACGACCTCTCGGCTTTGTAACCATCTCAGTGTATTAAGACTTCTTATTGGGCCTCATCTTACTTGTTTGATCTCATTCATCAAAATATTCATTCGAAATCTTTGGGTTACGTGTTGGGCCTACGGGTTGAAGGAATAAACCTCTACAACTATTTATTGGAATTTTTTCTAAATAAATTGATAGAATGTTCTGAAGGATAAATTGGTATATAAAGAAATTAACTAATTAATAAATTAACAAATACTCTGTTCATTTTTGCACGCCCGTTTTCATATTTCGTAATTAATTTTTACATAACACCTTATTTGTTGTTATTAAATAAATCTATATGTTTAAAAAAATTGAGTACTCATTGGACCGGTAAAAGTGAATTTTCATTCTAATCAATTAATTAAGTTCATATTTTGTAATTGAATAAAGTTGAATTTGTAAACAAATGTGTAAATAAGTGAATGCAAAAGCAAGTAAAAAATTAAACTAATAAGTCCTAATTAGTAAAGAGCTTTTTCAATATGAATGGAATGAAATTCATGTACAAAAATATGATTATATTTCATATAGTTTAATCTAATAGTTACTCAAATATAAATAATGAACATTTAATTAAATTATTACTAAAATATAATCATTACATTCAGGATGTCGCATTTTTAAAATAGCATTTATTTTAGTTATATATATAACTATTTTATAAAGAAATAGAAGAATAAATAACTGAATAAGTAAACAAAATAAGAACAATTTGGAAGAAGAAGAAATGCTAACTAAACATGAATTTAAAACAAAAATATTATGAATATATATTGTATTTAAAGTAAAAAATACTTTTTGAAATTTATTTTTAAAAACCGTCTTCATATTTCGTGTATGTGCATATAATTAATACTCCCTCCGTCCCGGAATTATCTTCATTCTTTCCTTTTCGGTCCGTCCCAAATTTATCTCCTTTTTCCCTTTTTGGTAAAGAATATGTGGTTCACAATCATTCTTACACATTTCTCTCTCCTCTGGATAAATCTCCACCACACAAATCCCACTATCTTAAAACTCGTGCCCGGTTAAAACCGGAGTTAAATATGGAACGTAGGGAGTACTATTTTCACATAAATCTACGCAAGTTCTATATTTTCGGTATGGATATTATCGATATATCCATATTTGTATATTAAAAAATATTACCCTAAATAGGAATAAATTAATACAAAAGTTCCCAAATAAGAGTTATGTCTAATTTATTACCTAGATATAGGACTAATTTAATTAGTCTTCCAAGTATGCTCATCTCTCCTAAATTGTATGCCTCCTTTCGGACTTTCTTTTCTCACCCCATCTCTTCTCTCCCTTCATTGCATCTGATTTTGTTTTCTCCCCCATCTCCCTTCTTCTCTCGCTTCTACCCTCTACATCTATCGTCCTTAAATCCATATATGAGACATCCTTTTATTCTCTCCTTTTCTGTAATAGCTTCGATTTTATTTTTCAGATCTTGATTCTCATCAACTGCGGCCATTTTTTGAGGTAAGGATGATAAAATTTATTTCTGTTTCCGGCCACTAGTGAGCGGCGAACGGCGGTGAGCGGCGAACGGCGGTGAGCAGCGTCGAGGTATGGTTCGATAACATAAGCTGGTCTGCGGCGGTAACAACAGAGACGTGGTGGCCTGCCCCGGATTGTGCATTCAATTAATTGTGTGCTATCCTGTTTGATTTAAGTATTTTGTTTTAAATTATTAGCGAAGAAATTAGGTTATCATCACTACAAAAAAACACTGGAATAGTCAAGGATTTTGTTAGGGATCTTCGTTCAAAAAATCCATAACAACTGATTTTGTTAGGGATTTTGTCAAAGAATTCATCCCCGACTTCAGCGCCTGATAAAACTATTGTAAGGGATTTCGGATCCTTGACAAATGTTGTCAGCGAATTGTCAGGGATGTTTCCTCTACACCCGAGTGCCCGTCCCCGGCGAGATTTGTCAGGGATTCAAATCCCTGACCAAATTCAAAATATCTCTGCAGTCTACTTTCCATGGTTTGGGATAATTCCCTGACAAATTCAAAAT